CACAAACTGAGACCTGTCCAGGACCCTCAGACTGGAGACCACTCAGAAGGAAAACAACTCTGAGCGTGATGATCTCTCTCTCTCTCTCTGGTCTCTCCTTCTGCATGATCTCTCTCTTTGGTCTCTTACTGCTCTCTTTCTCTAGTCTCTCTCTAATCTCTCCCTATTCTCTCTCTGCTCTCTCTCTTGTCTGTAGATCCTAGACTGAGGTTGGAGATCCAGAACTGAGGCTGTAGATCCAGGACTGAGGTAGTAGATCCAGGACTGAGGCTGTAGATCCAGGACTGAGGCTGTAGATCCAGGACTGAGGCTGTAGATCCAGGACTGAGGCTGTAGATCCAGGACTGAGGCTGTAGATCCAGGACTGAGGCTGTAGATCCAGGACTGAGGCTGTAGATCCAGGACTGAGGCTGTAGATCCAGAACTGAGGCTGTAGATCCAGGACTGAGGCTGTAGATCCAGGACTGAGGCTGTAGATCCAGGACTGAGGCTGTAGATCCAGAACTGAGGCTGTAGATACAGGACTGAGGCTGTAGATCCAGGACTGAGGCTGTAGATCCAGGACTGAGGCTGTAGATCCAGGACTGAGGTTGTAGATACAGGACTGAGGCTGTAGATCCAGGACTGAGGCTGTAGATCCAGGACTGAGGCTGTAGATCCAGGACTGAGGCTGTAGATCCAGAACTGAGGCTGCAGATCCAGGGCTGAGGCTGTAGATCTAGGAATGAGGCTGTAGATCCAGGACTGAGGTTGTAGATCCAGGACTGAGGCTGTAGATCCAGGACTGGTGGACCAAACCCAGATAAAACATTATAATTGCGAAACATTTTAAAAATTATTCATGATGCATCAAGATTGTGAAATAACCGTGGGATCAAGCCCTGTTCACTGGACCAAAAACATGTTGATGTTCTTCTTGACATGTTTGGGCATGTTTGGAGTCGTGATGGTCGGTGTTAACTGGAGCATACGTCTTTAATATTCATTGAGTCGTGTTTCCTCGGTCTGTAATGTGTAATTATTGGATGTAATAAGTAGTGTTTCGCTTGATGCTGTTTCAGAATGAGGAGGATCTTAATCACATTGGGATTGGTTCCACTCGACTCCAGCATGAATCACACTGTTCCAGTTTATGTCACACATTCTCTTCAAACGCCCTGTTTCCCGGACGCTGACAGAGAGACGAGCAGGAGGCAGATTAGTGACCAATGTAGTGTGTAAGAGATCAGAGATATGCAGCTGTTCATGGTGTAAAGAAGACAATGTATTTGTTTTGCACATTTCCTACAGGACTGGGTTCAAAAACAGTGCATCCAAAGCAGGTAGCTTTTGTCCCACATTGAGAAGGTCCTGGCTTTGTTTTGTGAATCTAATGTATTTATTTGATCAGGAACAAGGAACAACAAACATTAGTCTTATAGAAAGAGCAAGTTTTAGCAAAATACGACTTTTCGTGTTCAGTCCCAGGGCATTTATTCAATGTTCAAATACAGTCCCGAGTGTACCACCTCTCACACTCTGCCCTGCTGAGCTTCAGAGGTCTAAAGGGTTCTGGTTTTCTCCTACACCTGACCTCCATAAAGTCCCCTTGGTGATAATAACGGACCATCCCTGGTTTATTTAGACAAGCACGTTAATAATAGAAACAGTCTCTGGTCCTTCTGCTGCAGACCAATGTAAGATTGTGATGTTTTTACCTTGACACTGTCAAGACATTAGGCACACACATACTTACAGTGACACATGTTTGATTCTCCATTTTTGATGCAGTTAGACATATTCTGTGAACAAGACTCCCTTTATGTGAAGTTCACAGCTCAGCAGAAAACATGGAGCATCTTCCATGACAGTATGTTGCTGCTGTGTAGGGAGGGGATAGGTGGGTTTAGATAACACAAGATAAACTTTATTGATCTCACAATGGAGAAATTGGCATTGATAGAGTCAATCAGATTGTGCAAAAAGACAGAAGTGTACACAGGCCCGTCGCAAAGGGGGGTGCGAGGCCCTGTGCGAACTCGAAACGCCAGGCCCTGCCCTGACACTTTTTTCCCATATCTGAGGAAAGTTTTTCCTGTTATATTCTTTGACATGAATTTAGGTGCGTGTAAGATTAGCACCGCACAGCCGAGTGTCCTCGCTCCAATGCAGCGTCGGGCGCACACACACTCACTGTGACGGCGCTTGGCATTGCGATATTGGTCGCGGTCTTTTTAGCTGACATGGCTCTTTCGTCCTGTGGCAAAATGGCAGCAACTCAAAAGATTGAGCCAAAAGGAGTCTTCTTCTTTTTCTAAAAGTTAGATTACGGCAAAATGCGCCAAAATGGCGATGAGGCGGAGTCAATATTTGTTGTATTTTTTTTCTCATCAAATTACGTTTTTGCCATGCCTCCACACTCTGACAACAACCTATGCTACGTCTCCTGCTCCTCCTCCTGCTCCTCCTCCACAATGACCACAACAACATACTCTCTCCTCCTCCTCCACACACTCTGACCACAACAACATACTCTCTCCTCCTCCTCCACACACTCTGACCACAACAACATACTCTTCTCCTCCTCCTCCACACACTCTGACCACAACAACATACTCTTCTCCTCCTCCTCCACACACTCTGACCACAACAACATACTCTTCTCCTCCTCCTCCACACACTCTGACCACAACAACATACTCTTCTCCTCCTCCTCCACACACTCTGACCACAACAACATACTCTTCTCCTCCTCCTCCACACACTCTGACCACAACAACATACTCTTCTCCTCCTCCTCCACACACTCTGACCACAACAACATACTCTCTCCTCCTCCACACACTCTGACCACAACAACATACTCTCTCCTCCTCCACACACTCTGACCACAACAACATACTCTCTCCTCCTCCACACACTCTGACCACAACAACATACTCTTCTCCTCCTGCTCCACACACTCTGACCACAACAACATACTCTCTCCTCCTCCACACACTCTGACCACAACAACATACTCTTCTCCTCCTGCTCCACACACTCTGACCACAACAAGGCGTTTTATGCCCAAAATCCACTCCACTCGCAGTGGACGCTAAAGCTAGACATACAGTGTGTTTGATAATGCTTTTAAAAAATATGTTTTTGATGTGGATATTTGGACTAAACTTTGGCAATAACAGCGCTCACACACCTGTCACACCGCTGTTCCTCCTCCTCCTCCTCCTCCTCCTCCTCCTCTGCTCACATAAAGGGGTCTGCTCCTCTGCTCACACCTGTCTTGCTGCTCCATCTCTTCCAGTTACTTTTTTTCGTACCTCACTCAGACACTACTAAAGTTATCTGACAGCTCCGTAAAGTTTTTTTCGGAGGACCCTCTGCGTACATAGCTGCCCGCGCGCCTGCCTGTTTACAAATAGTTTTTGGTGAAAATTTGACTTTACTTGTGATAATGTACTTTTGAACAAAATAAATCACAGAGGTCCAGATAAAGGGGTTTAGGGGTTTAAACTTGGAGCGCCGTCTGCCCTTTGGGGACCTTTTAACTAGTGTATTTATAAAAAATAAAAAAAAATAAAAAATAAAAAAAAGGAAGTAAGATTGCGAGGCTCTGTGTGGTGCGAGGCCCTGTGCGACGGCACACTGCCCACGATGGCGCAGTCGTCGGAGAACTTCTGCAGGTGGCAGCTGTGTGTGTCGTGTGTGAAGTCTGAGGTGTAGATGGTGAAGAGAAACTGTGAGAGGACAGTGCCCTGAGGGGCCCCAGTACTACAGACTACCACCTCAGACTCACAGCTAGGGTTGCCGAGATTAACCTATTTTACGGTAATTGCGATTATAAAAGCCTGCGGTACGGAAAACTCTTTTGCAAAGTGCAGTACGGGCCGCTGCACACGGAGCAGCGCAGACTCACCCATAACTTGAATACAACAAGCTTATTGTTATAGCCACCACAACTTAAGTGAGATCACTTTGGGAAGCAAAATTATGAGCAAGGTGTTGTTGCCCATTGTAACCCAGGTGTCAGATCTGCACTTTAGCGGCGATTGAGATTAATATGCTCTTGTTCTCTGTTGCTCTTTGGTTGCTGCGCGCTGAGGTCTCTTCCTGGTCACGTGATTGCCGCGGTCCAATTAGCTCTAGTTATATGCCGGTGGTAGGAGGCAGCCAGTAGATGCGAGGGGAGGCAGGTTGTTTGTCTGCTCGAGAGCCGATTACCAGCGCCAGGTATTTGTCATTAGCCTTTATTTGTGAAATAAAACCAAACAACGTTGTTGTAGGGTTTCTACAAAACATGTTCAGGGTTCACCACAGACTTTAGGCTGCAGTGTTTGCTGAGTTTCATCATTTACTCCAGGAGCTGCGTATGGATGTGTTTCGCTTTCAGCGGTACTTCCACATGTCATTGCCCAGATTGGGTACCCGCACCCCGCCTCGCCCCCGCCTGGAGCTCGCCTCGCTCCTGCCTGGGACTTGCCTCGCTCTCACGGAGGAGCGCCTGTCTATCAGTCTACTGTCCAGCAGTCTGCTGTGTCTGAGCCAAATCTTGTTTTGAGTCAGTCAGAATGTGCTCAGATTTTTTTTTATTGTATCATTTTTGCAGTTTACATGTGGACAGATCCAGGACCCTGTGGGAGAGGAGCAGCTTCTTTTGAAGACGAGCCAAGAACACAAAGATAATATTGAGCGCGTGATGTCACAGACTTCTCCTGTGTATCGCGGACAGTCTGTTTCTCTAAGATTGTTGTGTTGTGTGTGGTTGTTGGACTAATCATGCAGTAACACAGACTTCAGAAGTGCTGGTACAGATGTGGCAATGTTAAAAGCTGCTCAGGAGAACGACGTAAACTTAAATGCTGACCTTTAAATCAAAGCGGTGATTGAGTATCGACCGAACATTCTTTGGTCGAGACTTTTCAGGAGATCAATGCTGTGTTTCCATGTGCCGGGATCGGGCCTGCTCGCTCCAGGACTTCAGAAACACATTGATTTAAGATGATGAAGTGGATAATGTTTTGATGGGCAGGGTACAGGATACAGACGGTGGAGAGGATAGAAACGGTGCAGAGGATACAGAGGGTGCAGAGGATTCAGAGGGTGCAGAGGATACAGAGGATACAGAGGGTACAGAGGATACAGAGGGTGCAGAGGGTGCAGAGGATACAGAGAATACAGAGGATACAGAGGGTACAGAGGGTACAGAGGATACAGAGGGTGCAGAGGGTGCAGAGGATACAGAGAATACAGAGGATACAGAGGGTACAGAGGATACAGAGGGTGCAGAGAGTGCAGAGGGTGAAGATGATACAGAGAATACAGAGAATGCAGAGGGTACAGAGGATGCGGAGGGTGAAGAGGATACAGAGGGTACAGAGGATACAGACGGTACGGAGAATACAGAGGATGCAGAAGTGCAGAGGGTACAGAGGGTGCATGAAGTAAAGTTGGAGTTAACTGGACATGCATCAAGTTAACATCAACTCCGGCTCTTTTTTTTAACCTTCAAAGCTTCAAAGCTTCGCCCTCTGGACTCAGCCTGGATTTATATTTCAAAGCAGCGCTGACCTTTGTCCCTTGTGAAATCAGGGCGAGCTCATCAGACGGAGGACGACGTCAGAACGACTCGAGCTGAAAGGAGTCCATCGATTTAGCACGAGTTTGGAACGTCACAAACTTCATGTAATCTTCATATATTTGCGTCTCGCCCTAAACCACAACAGCAGTCGTCTCGAAGGACTCTACAAAGTTGTGGATTCACCAACAACAGATCAGAGAATCAAACAGTTCAAACACAGGAAGTGCAACAATCAAAAAACAAAGTAAAAAGTCTCAACAGTGACATACTGTATTCCTGCGAGCTCAAAAACAATCTTTATGTGACAGTGAGAGAAGGAATCGAACTGTTGTGGTGAAGAGGGAGCAGCGTCTGACCTCAAAGCTGCCCCCGCCACCCGGCAATGGGTAAAGTGGAAGAAAATGGATTGATGATAGGTAATTTCCTTAGAATTTTTCTTTTTGATGTCCAGAGCATCCTGTTCCCTGAAACAGCATCAGTGTCAGAGTTTATGTGTCTCTGATATTAAGGTGGAATTGTTTAGGGACAGAGACTGAAAGAAGCTGATATTAAGGTGGAATGTTTGGGGACAGAAAGAAGCAGACGTTAAGGTGGAATGTTTGGGGACAGAGAGAAGCAGATGTTAAGGTGGAATGTTTGGGGACAGAGAGGAGCACATGTTAAGGTAGAATTTTTGGAGACAGAGGGGAGCATAACTTGTGTCAATATCTTGTTATGGACTGTGTCAGACTTTATCAGAAATACATAAAAACTTTATTTTCAGTTTCACACCTTCTGAAGCGTCGTCTCCGCGGGAGCTCTGTTTATCAGTTGTTTTGAAACTGAAATAAGCTTTTCATAGATAACAGAAAACTCATAACTTCTCAAACTCCAGGACTCAGAGCCGGGTGTCCTCTACACGTCACCGCCCAAAGATTTATGATCCTGAGTGGTGTCCATAAACATTTATCTTTTTGGTTTCACAGTGAGACAAGGACAATGTTTAAAGCTGGAGTACTTAAAGGTAGGAAAGATTGACGAGCATGTATCACCCGAATGATTGACAATTGGGATTACTACTAGTCTTGATGATCCACCTGGAAGTAAAAAAAATCCTTCAATATACCTTTAACTTTGGCACCTTGAAAGAATAATGTATTACTATCATATGATTAGTTAAGGCAACACTTGAAATCATCCAGCACTAATTAAAAGATAATTTAGTGCTATTTATCTTATCCTAACCCTAACTGTAATCCCTAACCCACATGGGAAAGTATCAGTTAGCAGTTAATTAGAGGTTGGTGGCCTGCAGGCTTTCCTCTCTGTTAGCATCAGTCCCACACTTTAACAATCACTGTTGCACGCTCAGAACATGCAAATCCTGTCCGCCTCAGGCCCCAGAGGCCACACACAGGTGACGTACAGCAGGGTCTGACTGCAGCTCAGGAAATAGGAAAGAATCACAAAGAGTGTATTGAGAACTAGACAGATGTGAGGAGGAGAGAGCAGCTTCAGGCCCATAAAGCTCTTCTCTTTCTCACACACACATGACAGAAGCAACAATATTAACTGTATACTGTACATAAACAGGACAGCAAATGGCAATCCATTTTTATTCAAGGTTTTGTTTCTTTGAGCTCGAGGGAAGCCTGAGGCAATCCTGGATCAGAGAGAAACAGAGACCAGAGAGACATGGACCAGCTGGGAGACAGAGAGACCAGAGACAGACCAGAGACAGCTCAGGGAGATCAGAGCGAGACTAGAGAGATCAGAGACCAGAGAGACTTGGACCAGCTGCGAGACAGACCAGAGAGAGACCAGAGACAGCCCAGGGAGATCAAAGCGAGACGAGAGAGAGATCAGAACGAGACCAGAGAGAGATCAGGGACAGACCAGAGACAGACCAGATACAGACCAGAGAGAGACCAGGGACATCAAGGAGACCAGAAAGAGATCAGAGAGAGACCAGGGACATCAGAGAGACCAGAGAGAGGCCAGAGACAGACCAGAGAGAGACCAGGGACATCAGAGAGACCAGAGAAGTCAGAGACAGACCAGAGACCGACCAGAGACAGTCCAGAGGCAGATCAGCGAGAGACCAGGGACATCAGAGAGACCAATGAGAGACCCAAGACACACCAGAGACAGACCAGAGAGAGGCCAGAGAGAGACCAGAGAGAGACCAGAGAGAGACCAGTGAGAGACCCGAGAGAGACCCGAGAGAGACCCGAGAGAGACCAGGATGATCAGAGAGAGACCAAAGACACACCAGAGACAGACCAGAGAGAGCCCTCCCAGCTTTTCAAGATCTTGTGACAAAGTCCTTCTCCAGCGTCAATGTCCAGTAATAGGACCATCATATCCTGAGTATTTTAGTGGTTCATACATATACTGTACTGTATGTATAGTGTAGCCCACCAAATATTACTTGCTATGTTGTGATACTGTTCCTTTAAATGTTCGCTAAACGGAGCATTTCTGCATCCGTCCATTAGAGGGCGTTATTGTTTTTTTTTTATTTTTATTTTTTTTTATTTATTTATTTATTTATTTATTTTTTTATTTTTTTATGTTTTTTTTTTTTTTTTTTTTTTTTTTTTTTTTTTTTTTTTTTTTTTTTTTTTTACTTTACTGGGGCGACAGTAGCTCAGTTGGTAGAGCATTGGCCTTAAGCCCAGAAGGTCGTGGGTTCAATTCCCACCTCTGCACCTTCTCCACCGACTCCCACTGATGACTGCTGTCGTTGTGTCCTTGGGCAAGACACTTAACCCCACTTTGCCCAAAAGCTCCCACTGAAAGATCAAAGGCTATGCTCACACTCAGAGAGCAGCCGTCCTCCTGTGGACTCACCACCTGCAGAGGGTCAGTGAGGGGCTGGTGCTATGAGACTTGGGTGGCATCTCTGACTGCCACCCCCCTGACCCAGAAATGGATTAAAGCAGCCATTCCCAAACTCAGTAACACCGAGGCCCCCTTAAAAATCTGACGGGTCTGCGTGGCCCCCCAAAATAATAACCAAGAAGACAACATTAAGAATAGGCTCTTCTGGTTATTTTATTTTGGGGAAATAGCCTCTGCTACAAACATTGTAATACAAAAATGATTACAGTGGATTATTCAAGTCAAATAATGAACACAAATATTTTAATATTACAAACAAAACATTATACATTTAACATTAAATAATTATATATTTTTTTAATTTTTTTTATGACCTCCCGCGGCCCCCTTGCAGTACCCTCGCGGCCCACCAGGGGGCCGCGGACCCCACTTTGGGAGACACTGGATTAAAGGGTAGAAAATGGATGGATGGATGGATGGATTGTTTTTACTGTGAATGCTCCGCCATCTTGTGAGACGTTGGACATCATATGTAAGGAAAAACGATGTACAAAAGTGTTTAAAATAGTTCAGAAATGTGTGATTAACAACTTGTTTTGGGTTCATAGAGTTCATAAAAACAGCAAGGGGTACTGGAGACAAGGATTATTTCGAGTTTGTGTGTTCTTGAGCTCCGGTGAGTCTGTTGCTATGCTAAGCTAGTCTATGCTAAGTTAGTTCATGACACTGCATTTTCTTTTGAGATGATATTATGATTATTCCTTTAAAAAAAAAATAATAATCGGAGAAAATGTGAAACTATATACAGATGAGAAGTATTTACAGAAACATGATTATAAGAAGGGTTTTACATTACAATGTACAATTTTAATGTTACATTTGAATGCTGCGCACTGTGTAAAATCCTACAAGCTACAGTATGTGATTAGTTGTAGTTGGAGATTAGATAAAACTCATCTATATACATATTGACTATGAGAGAATTATATTAATGTTATCCTGCTTATGCAGGTTGGTTTTTTTATAACCTGAGGACTGTTTGGTGCTTGGCTGGTGTCACGGAGTTTGCAACGTCTTGTCGCTGGATCCAGAGAAGGACGACGCACAACCATCTCCGTTCATCCACCTTGGCCTTCATCGAAAAGAGCTGAATAGCTAAGATTTTGTGCACATTCAACAACAGTAAAATCAAACTACCCGGGTAGATGAAAACCATTTCTTTTTTTTAATCAGAGCTCTGAACTTTATTTTTATGTTTGATCCAAAGAGACTGATACACATTAGATAGGGGTAAACGTATTTTTTTAAGGTACATTTGTTTTACAGAAATAAATGCCGGCTTGTGTTAACTTTTCATACTAAACATTTGTAGTCTAAAATTATTAAGCCTCCCTTCCTCCTGTAGAATCCTAGAATCACAGCGGTTCACTTTATACAGGTTACAATAGCAACAATACAAACTTTTTTGGTCTGCACTTTTGAGAGAAGAGCTACAGTTTTATTTCCAATCGTGACATATAATAACTGGGTCTATAGCAGAACACACTCCGTAAATTGGGTATTTTGTTTTCTCAGCAGGACGAGGAGATAATGGGACTAGTCTCAGATTTGAGACGAGAATCTGATAATCGTCTTTGTCTGAGCTGCTGCCCTCTGTCTGATCTCTCTTGTAATCGTTATTTTCACAGTTTCACACTTACATACAAGCTCCACTGATTCTCAAAGTCTTTTAAACTCCGAAATATCTGACTCTTTAAAGCGGTAACCCTTGAATGCTTTGGGAGAAGCCATTATCCACCGTCTGCTCTGCTCCATTGTGTGAGATTCAGAGAAAGTAAGAATAAAAGCTGTTGAAAATAGAGTTAGATTAACAAGGCCAGGAGCAGTTATCATTTCTACAGATATATCCAGATCCAAGGCTCCAAACTGGATTCTACATACATGTAAGCTGCACTCTCCTGGACACTTTCTATACAGTGACCTGGCATACGACAAAGACATTGTTGTATATTTCTATTCATTTGTCTTTTTTCATTTAGTCGTTCCTCATAGAGTCATGTCTGTGGATTCCTGGTTCATCGGACTTCCAGGAGAAAGGCTGTAGATCCAGGACTGAGAATGTAGACCCAGGACTGAGGTTGTAATAATAATAATAATAATAAATCGGTTTTATATAGCGGTTTTTTGGACACTCAAAGACACTTCACATGGAATTATTCTTTCACTCCATACACAATGGTGATAAACTACTAC